GCGTGGCACTACTTTATCCTCGAGTCTCATCTGGGCGAGGACTCGGGGATGGATAATGCACGCTCTACTTCCATCGTCTACCATGATACGTTTGACATCAATATCTAAAATGTGCAAAGTAATGATGAGAGAATTATTATGAGAGAAAGTCAAATTGTCGGCATTTGAATCGTCGAAGATGATACTTTCTTCGGGTCCGTCATACCGTTCGCAGATGATAGATCGTTTGAGTTTGTGAGTGGTGGTGAATTTAACGTCGTTGATGGAGGCATCGTCGCTGCCGCCGATGATCATGTTTATTATACGAGCTAGTGACGGCAGCTTCAACGGACCTTGGTGTTCTCATCCTCTGGTGAAATTATTTCTCCCCTTGTCGCTCAGCAGCTCTTTGAGGTATCCATGCCGCAACATGTTTACAACTTCTTGCCTGAGGGCGATGCAATCATTTGTGTTCTCGTCATGTTGATTGTACGAGTTGGTGACGGCAGCTTCGGCGGACCTTGGTGTTCTCGTCCTCTGGCGAAGTTATTGCTTCCCCTATCGCTTAGCAGCTCTTTGAGGTGTCCCTGCCGCAACATGTTTACAACTTCTTGCCTGAGGGCGATGCAATCTTTTGTTTTGTGTCTACGCTCCTGGTGGAACTAGCATAGGGCATCGGATTTTCTGGTGCTCGGATCATACCTCATCTTTGGCGGCCACTTCACCTTCGCTCCGAGCTTCTCCAGGGCATAGACTATTTCTGTAGGTGAAACACAAAAATTATGAGCAGATAATAAGGGGGCATACCTCTCTCATTCCGGTGAGTCCCCGTTCTCGTCCTGGATGGGCCTTCCTCATGGTGGAGAGAAGATAAGGCGGGGGCCCTGAAGTATGGCTGGTGTCGTTCCCTGTTGGGTCGGGAGACCGGGTGATCTCTCCTGATGTTGTCTATTCGTTCTTTCCTGGACTCGGCTTGTACCGAGATGAGCCGATGAGTTGGTCCGTTAGGGTCATCCTCATCTGCTCGGAATTCGGCACAATAAGCATTATGGGTCTCGTCCCAAGCGGTTGGAGGGTATTTCATCAATCGGCTCAATAGTTTTCTAGTCGCTCTCGAACCATCTCTTCTCAACCCTATTTGAAAAGCCGCGACCGCCATCCCCTCGGTTTGGTAGGGTCATCCTTACCCTGTTGAATCGGTCGAGGAAGTCCCTCTCCTAAGGACCGATTGATGGCGAATATGTCATTTACTCTTGTCTAGGCTTTCCTGGCTCCGGCATGCGCCGTTACGAACTTATTGGCCATTTCCTCGAATGTTTCTATAGAGCGGGCCGGTAGCTGTGAGTACCATGTTAATTCCTATCCCATATAAGTTTCGCCAAATTTCTTCAGCAAAATAGAAGACATTTGTTCTTTGGTGAGGTCATTGGATTCACGGCGGTGACATAATAAGTCACGTGGTCTTCGAGATCAATCGTTCCGTCGTATATTCTGAGATACGACGGCATTTTGAAGGTCTTTGGTATGGCATGTGGAGCTGCTTCTTCGCTGTACGGATGCTCTACGAACCTGCCGGCATCCCTCTTTGGCAATAGCTTAGGGACGCCCATTATCTTGTCGACTCGTTCTTGGTATTCTTTCATTTGATCTCTGAGTGCTTTATTTTCATTCTCCATTTCTTCCATCCTCTTTAGAACAGCGGCGAGGGCGCTGTCACCCTCATTGTTAGTAACATTGTGAGTTATACCTGGTATTGGAGGGTCTGGTTGGTCGCCTTGTTCGTCTGCTCGTTGTACTGTGTAGGTTCTTGCAGTCTCTGTAGCCGTGCATGGATTGGGCTTGTTGAGCACGCATACTAGCGTATCGGTCAGCCATGCTTTGAGGAGCTTTTTCACGGCTGGTGGCGTCCCTTCTTCTGTGGACGTAGAGGCCCCTTTTTCATTTGATTTTGTTATGCTACAATGGGGCGGAGGTGACCTCTCGCGCCTAGGGGAGGCAGTGGGCGTCACGTCCTTGCCCAATGTTTCACAGCTCTCGTTGATAGCGTTCATGAGGTTGCTAGGGAAATCACCTATTACTTTTGTCCTCTCTCCTTGGTTATCTGCCATGTAGGTTTTTGTACGTGCAAAGAAAGAGAAAGATCTCAGGGTTTGTGAGGTTAGTGACTCACATTAGCTGTAGATCCAAAGGAAACTAAGAAATCTCCACATACGTCGCCAAAATGTTTGACCAAAAATATAGATCTTGGTTCAACCAATTAGATTTAAATAAAGAAGAGTTAATCTTAACTAAAAATAATATCCTAAGAATAAAGTTATCGGCGTTGTGACAAATAACTCGTATATTTGTCCGGATGGCAACAGATAAGCAAGAATAACAATATTCATTGATCCCAAAAGATGGAATGTGGCATTAAATAGTAATGAATGACAATAAATAGCATTTAAGTAAATAAAACGTGTGAGTCACCCGAAAAAGGATGAGATCAGTGGATATTCTTTCTGACAATGATGAATGATTGATAAATCTTTGAACACTTAGGTTGTTCTTGGATCCATTGGAAATGCTAGACAAGAATCTTAGTAAAAAGGTTGTTTTGTATGCTTGCAATAGGACTAGATTCTCTCTATAAAGTCAATATGTTTTTTTTTTAAAATGAATATCTCATGTCACCTATCATTGTGTCTCTTTCTATTTATAGATAACATGTTTCTAGAAACCCTAATAGTACATGTGAAGAGAATATCTACTAAAATATTCTCTTTTATGTCTTATCTTAGAACTGACCGTTATAACTCTGTCTAAGATGTTCGACCTCGACCTTGAACTACGGTAACTTCACAACCTTGATCTTTGTTGAGTCTTCGACTGCACCCTTCATTGCTTCGGGACTTCTTCGTTCTGAAGCCGATCTTTGTGGGGACCTTACTGATAGCACGTAGCGGTCGATGAAGATTATAATGGTGCCGACGTGGCTTGCCTATAGGAAAGATATTTTTTGGCCCATACAATACCAAACAAAGATGATAAGATTAAGACATTAATGTTGCCATTTGTGCAAACAGTTTTCCACTAAAGATTATTTAAATCTCTTAAGTCTAAATGACCAGGTTAAAGCACGATGACTTCGGTTTTCTTGTTGACATGTTTCGCTCATTATTCGTGTTAAAAGAATCCTATTTTAACGTAGTACCGGTTCGTAGTCTTTTACAAAGTTTCAAAGAAAAATGTCCGATTAAATTAGAATCTGATAATATACATGATATATAGTTATTAGAAGATGCGAGAAAGTTTTAAAATGACATATCAAAGAAAAATGTCCGATTGAAATAGAATTTGACATATATACACGATAATGTGATTGGAAGACGTGCGGAAATTTTAAAATGACATACCAAAACAAAGATAATGCAAAAGTAATAGTATTATTATATGTCAATTTTAAAGTTTTTGAGATCGACAAAGGTCCAAATATACGTACTTTCGAAAATGACGTAAGAATATCTCTTGTTATACTATTGAGTTATCTATAACCGTGTAGTCATACTTTGGGTTCAAATATACCCCTCATTTAAACAGAGGGACACGTGTCATCGTCTTGGTTCAAATATACCCCTTATTATTTTTCGAAAAAATTATTTTAATTAATTAGGAGATATTTAGAATTGGCCAACAGGAGGAGGACACGTGTCCCTCTGTTTAAATAAGGGGGTATATTTGAACTCAAAGTATGACTGCAGGGGTTTAAATAACTCAATAGTATAACAAGAGGTATTGACTGCAGGGGTTTAAATAACTCAATAGTATAACAAGAGGTATTCTTAGACCATTTTTAAAAGTACATGGGTATATTTGGACCTTTGAGATTGATAGGCCATTGAAGGAGAGATTAGTGTGTGAAACGAACTGAAATACAAAATAGGACAAACAAAAAAAAATAGTGAAAATAACACGAGCTAGCCAGTTTTCGGACTGATAATTGAAAAATAGCAAGCGTTTGCAAAGACATTGAAAAATAGTTACTATTTTGTTGCAACACGAAAAGTTCCAGCATAATATACTGGAGATTGGTGCACATGTGTATGAACTTCCAACATATTATGCTGGACCTCTAACACACGGAAAGTTCCAGAATAATATACTGGAGATTGGTGCACATGTGTATGAACTTCCAACATATTATGCTGGACCTCTAACACACGGAAAGTTCCAGAATAATATACTGGAGATTAGAGCACCTGTGTATGAACTTCCAGCATATTATGCTGGACAAGTATATTATGCTAGAACTCTAGTATATTATGCTGGAACTCCAGTATATTATGCTGAAATATTTTCTGAATTTTGAACAGTGTTTTCATCAAATTCAACTTTACATGAAAAGTGGCTAAATTTCGAGCACCTGTGTATGAACTTCCAATATATTATCCTGGACCAGTATATTATACTTGAACTCCAATATATTATGCTCGAAGTTCACATGTAAAAAATTCGAACTCTAGTATATTATGCTGGAATATTTTCCGGATTTTGAACAATATTTTCGTTCAGATTCATCTTTACATGAAAAGTGACTAAATTTCGATTACTTTTGAAACTGTAATTATTTTTTAATTACCACCTGTAAATCTGGCTATTTTTGAATTTCGTACAAAAAAAACCCAGTTAAATCCTTCGGTTCTGTATTTTAAAATTTTAAACACCCTACATTCTTTAAACTACCTTGAGAAACATTCAATAACCTTAATTATAAGATTGTCTAAATCACCCTTCATATCTATCTTAAACAGTAAAGATAGATTTGAGAGGGAAAAAAAGGTAAACCTTGCTTGAATCAATCAATTTAACATATCAAAATGACTAATATTTGGAATAGAAGGGAATAGTTACAACAGTGGCTAACATAATACATTTGCCACTTCATGTATTATCAACATCTACCAAAATGTGACCAACGTGCAATGTTATGCAGCTATGGCAGAGATGAAAATATCATGATTTGTATGAACAGACAAAACATACAATAAGTTAAAACTCAGCAACTCCAAACAGCAATACATTAAGTCACAAGCTCACATTTGCCAAGTTAGATATATTCTCGAACAGCAGACAGATATCAATTATGTCATTCTACAAACAGCATCTTAAATTTGAGTTTATACGGAATGCTAGAATTGGTATACCCGCATAACAATTACATCCTCTCGACGATAAAGAATGAATTAGGCAAACATTATTACCCTGTTTCAATATACTCTGCAAGATCATTCGTTATATTGGCGAATGGCGACTTTCACCCAAACCAAAAAAAAAAAAGATGGGGCATTTGATGCAATAGTGTACCCTATGTTGATAAGGATTCTTCTCCTTTGTTCACCAAAATTGCAAATTATGGAAGTAGTGCACATGACCTGAAATGGATAAGCACCTGAACTTGAGATCAATCTGGATATAAGAACAAATGATTCCAAGAGAATGTAATATTCAAGTGATAAATTGTCATGCACCTCTTTAGCAATACAGCAACCCTCATCCAGATGAACGAAAAACTCAAGACAGATATGTTATTCCTCTTCGGGTTGGAATTCAAGATCTAATTTCCTCTTTAAATGTGATCTGTCAGCACTGCAGGTGAAAACAAGTTCAAGAGATTTATAATGATACCACATCAAAGTAGTTACAGGTCCATAGAGTGTCTATCGACTAAATGATAACTTCCCACATCCAAAATCTTGATAATATTTGGTTGTGTCAGTATTAGCATTCATATAGTCATTGCCTAGCACAGGATCTTAAGAGCAATCATCTTAGTAATGTTTACAAGACCTTATCATGACTATCATAGATATTACTATTTCTTTGACTACCACAGATATTACTTTATTTTTTCAGATATTACAATTCACTAGCAGTTAGCACACTGGGATATTTCCTTAAAAACAATCCACCAATATAACATCTGTTTTAGTTCGTTCTCCATTTTTTGCAAAAAGTTTATCTCCTTGGGGATAACAGTAACCTGGCCACTAGCTGAACACCCCGCCATTTATTCCTGTTCTCCCCTGCGCATGTGGTTTCGAATAACACAGGTCCCACTTATTGTGAACACAAAACCATGCAATGTATAGAAAATGCAAACAAAAAACCCAAGACGTGCATAAGTTTAACATATCAAGAAGGCCAGATACAATGCCAAAACAATATCTGCTTCAGATACCCAATTTTTCTATTGAATGAACAATCGTACTAAAGAACAAAAGAAACCAAAATATTATAAATCAAAACATTCAAACTCTTAATCATGCATTAATAACGAAATACATCCCGGACTTATTTCCCTTCATGATTTCTATGATAATCAGCGGAAAGAAAGTACTACAGTCCCTAGTTAGATGATCTTACAATAAGACACAGGCTAAAAGAAATTGCATAATAATACGTTGAGAATCTATAAAGCTTTATTACTTGAGGCCCACCAGTGTGTGAGTTCATAGGCAATGGATGTCTTTGGTGCATAACCATATCAGTACTCTACTCCCCCCCACCCCATAAAACCACCCATTTTAAACCAACAGAATGACACCAACAGTATATTACCAAAATGAGATCAAGAACAATGCAAGTAGCCTAAATGGTTAGTAAAAGATATTGCAAAGCATATGAGCTATACCTGTTAATGGTCGGCCTAGTAGGTGGTCTCATCCCAAAGACTGAGAAATCCAGTGACATGGGTACCTGTTCACTCCTCTCACCGGCATTTCCATGGTCATCCATCTTCTCTGGACGCATATTAGCCTCAAATCCTTCGCGCTGTGGCATCACTCTCCTTGACTTTCTTGGTGGAGACAATACTACAGGACCATCACGTGAATTGAAATCTGAAACCCTAGGGTTTGCGGATTCCCGCTTAGGGGGAGGTCTTGGAAGCAGAACTGGTTCCGTAGGTAGAGGTCCTGATGAGAAGTACCTAATGAAAAGGGAAAGTTCAGCACCCACATCAACTGCAAGTCCGCAGACTAAACAAGACAAAGAAGAAACGTACCTATGCTCCAATGCTTGCTGTGCTGATATCCTAGCTTTTGGGTCGTATGAGAACATCTTTGACAGAAGATCTAAAGCATCCTCAGTAGCCGTTGGAAACAATGTTTTAAGTGGCTGTCCAGGGACATATTGGTACTCCACATAATCAGGCAAGTAGACCATATCAGCCCACTGCGAAGGCTTTGGGGTCCCAAAAGCCGCAAAAATCTTTCCCAGCTGATCAATATCACTGTTTCCCTAATATAGGCTCAGATTACAGAACAAATTATTGGTTGAAGTAACAACAGGCAGATAGGAATAGTAAAGGTAGTACGTAAAGTATGACAGAAGTTCAAACAATTATTCCATCAAAAAAATTTGGAAAATGGTGCCAGCAGTAATTTTTTGGTGTATTTGGAAAGAAAGAAACCGAAGGTGTTTTGATGGCATTTCAACTCCAATCTACTCCCTCAAGGCTGCGTGTTTAGTTAATCTGTTTAGTTGGAACTATCTCACCCCTGTTAACAGTGCTGATATTTTTGTGGATTTTATTAGCTCCATGATAGTAGCATAGGCTTTTGTACTGGAGCTAATTATCCTATCTCTTTTGTACTCTTTGCATCTTCTTGATGCCCTTTAATGAATCTAATTTACTTCATAAAAAAAAAATAGTTCAAACCATTATTGGGAAATTGGAAGGAACTTATCGCACTAAAGGGATCACCACAGGAACAAGGAAAAAAAGCTCAGTCTAGTTCCTGTAAGTAATTTGCCTTTTTGCTATGGCTTCATTGTCAACCGTCCAACTGCATGTGAAGCTCTCTAGAATAAAACTACAAGGGACAACTGGTTTACAGCTTATTAAAGATACAACAACAACAAAAACAGATTCAGTGTAATCCCACAAGTGGGTCTGGGGAGGGTAGTATGTACGCAGACCTTACCCCTACCTTCAAGAAGGCAGAGACGTTTCCGAAAGACCCAGCTTATTGAAGATGAAGAGGAAAATATATACATGTCTTACAGTAAAAGATGCATATAAAAAGAGTGTTTCTCCCAGAAATGGAGAAAGTTATTAACAAAGGTTATATTATTGAGAAAATAAGACAGTCCACGTTCAGGAGTTAACATGAGAAACTCTTCCTGAGAAGAGCATTTCCTACATAGTACTATACAAAACATCAAATAAACCAGGTAGCTTGAGTCATGGAAACTCATGATTGCATCGACCAATTTCATATAAAAGGACAAGGATAATTTGTGAGAGGGATTGCCATGACTATAGACATTCACCTGCAGAAATGGTCGACGCAGGAGGAGCTCAGCAAAGATACATGCAGCGGCCCAAACATCTACTCCAGGTCCATACTGCTTTGCACCAAACAATAACTCTGGTGCTCTGTACCACCGGGCAAAGACCTAACAGTACCCATCAGATTAAAAAGTGCTCTTTACAGTAACAGTAACAGAAGTAGAGACGGGGGAAAATGAATCTGGATTCTACTGCTACATGCACTAATTTGACAACATCTTGGTCAAATTTGTATAGCTGTTCAGAATTTGTCGTATGCATACCACAATAGGACAATTCTTAAGTCTCCAAAAACAAGGGCATACCATCAGTAATTTGCACAAACATTCTTTATTATTGTGGAATGAAAGGTATGGACTAAATAAAGTACATACAAATTTCGTTGAACAGTAACAAAATTGTGTACTGTTCAACACTAACTATATAAAGAGATAGGAGTAACCATGTCAGGTTTGATCATCTCAGATATAGAAAGGTGCAGTATCGGATCACATCTCTTTTTTTTTTCCATTACGCATTTTGATAAAAGAACAAAAAAAATTTGGTAAAGAAGAAATCCTCCAAAGAAAGTCCAATTCTCAAAACATATACCTCCATATTTGTTTAGACAAGTGGGAGAAACTAATAACTCATATCAAAGGCAACTTTAATGAGTGGGATCATTCCAGGTTATTTTTAGGTTTGATGAAGTCATGTCATGAATTTCCACAAGGAGAACCATAATATGAAGACAAATAAAAAAACTGCAATGAAGTAGCAAGATAAAAGTAACTTCTGACAGGATACATGCTCCAAGAGTTATACCTGGTGAGTGAATCTTCTATCAGGGCTACCAAATAGACGTGCTAATCCAAAGTCAGCAAGTTTAAGCTGCCCCTTAGGTCCAATCAATAAATTGTTTGGTTTCATATCTCTGTCAGGAAGAAACAGCAAAAATTTAAGGAAGCTGAACACAAGTTGGAATAAGGTGAAAGCGAGAACATACAAACACATACCTATGCAAGACATATTTCTTGTGACAAAAAGCAAGTCCTTTCAACGTCATCTGGATATAAGATTTTATATCCGCAGGTGAGAGGAAGATATTTCTATCACGAATCACAGCCTCAAGATCTGTCTCCATGAACTCAAACACAAGATGCAAGTTTCCTTTGTGAGGGAAGGCATCAATCAATTCAATAACGTGAGGATCCTTCAGCTCTTTCAATAATTTTATTTCCCTAAGGGCAGTGAAATTCACCCCTTCTTTCTGTTTCCCAAGACGAATTTTCTTAATAGCAACAGTTTGGCCACTCTGCAGAAAATGAAATTAAAGCATACATCAGATAAATCATTATTTCAAGAGACAAAATGAAACCAAATGTTTAATCAGCTATTTAACTAAGCCTCAATCCGAAACCATCTGGGGTCACACTATATTGAGTCCTTTATATCCATTCCGCCTTATTCAAGCCCATTTCATCCCAATACTTCTAATTAATTTGTCTATTAAGGCAAATTAACCACTCTCTTAAATTAGAGGTTCTCAAAATCTCATACAGCTTATAGGGTTATGCCTTACTGCGATTAGGTACAAAGTGAGCTCCAAAACCACCAGCATCCATCTAAGATCTAGCACTAACAGCATTTTTTTTGGGTGCACAATACAAAGCTTACAAAGCTCAATTTAACATTCAACTTTGCACGATAAAATTTATATGAAAACATATTCCAGCTTTCATAGACATCAACAAAAGAACAGCTTGGGACTCCTTTCCTCACGCGGGACTAGCTATGTGAAGATTGGAGATAGAAACAACAAACATGGCATTTAACATTCAACAATAAACTATGGTCAAATGTTAATCCCAAACTAGCCTAGGTGTAATAGCTTGACTAATTTATGCTGAACGTCAACCTACAACAACCCTCCTCTTTTATGGAGACAGGACTTGGGACTCCTTTCCTCACTCGGGACTAGCTATGTGAAGATTGGAGATAGAAACAACAAACATGGCATTTATTATAGAATTCCTTCAGCACCCAAGGGTGTCGCCTAGTGCTCAATGAAGTAGGTGCAAACCTTGGAATCCAGGTTCAAATCCAGTCGAGACAAAAAACACTAGGTAACTTCTTCCATCTGCCTAAACTCTGGTGGACAGAGTTGCCGCTATCTACACTGGTGGGAGGTACCAGATACCCAATGGTCGAGGTGCATTTTACAAATTCTAGAATTATTGAAACCAAAGATGGAAAATGGAAAGCACCGTCACACCCACGAGCTAGCACTAACCGCTTTTTCTTTTTAAAATTCAAAAACCTTCAGAGCTTTCAATCAGTCAACATAAAAGAATGTTAAATTTCAAGGAAAAAACATCAACAATTCAAAGAATTAACAATCAAAACATGAATTAAACAAAACCCTAGAAAATCTTCAAAACCAAATACTGCAAAATGAAAAACGGAGAAAAACCCATAAGCGTTATAACAAGAAGTACCTTAGTATCAATGGCCTTGAAGACAACACCATAAGTACCTTCACCTAAAACTTCACGTTTTAGGTAACGATCTGCTACTTTTTTTGTCAATAAATTGTCTACTTCTGTCATTTTTACTGCTAAATTTTTATGGGTTTTGCATCTGTTTCAGTGGTAAACTGTTACTTTTTTATAATACTCAGCTAATTGGAGTATATAGACGACATACGATGAAATGGGTCGCTAAATTTTTATCGGATTTGTGAAATTGTTCACAAGGTGTTTGTTGTGTGTTTCAGTGAAGAAGAAGAAGAAGAAGAAGAAGAAGAAGAAGAAGAAGAAGAAGGGGAAGGGGAAAAAAAGGCAGGAGCGTATAACTCCGTTAGCGTTTCAATTTAGTGGAGATTTTCACTTTAATTTAAAAACACCAAGTGTTTAGTTTATTTATTTATTTATGTGTTCAGTCATTTCTTCGTTTTTTCCTTTTTATTTTTAACTTCATTTTCTTTTTTAATTATTAAGAAATATGAATATACTTAGGTCCCTGTTTTTTTTTTTCTAGCTATATTAGTGGCCTAAGCGTAAATTCAAGATATAAATTTTATAAATTTAGAATATCAATAGCTAAAGTTATTAAGTTTAGCTAAACTTGTATTTTATATTGTGCATCCGCCTTTGTTTGTGAGGAGTCTTTGTGATCTAGCTCAAGACTTTGTATGTCGAGATGATAATGCAATTTTTTTTTTATAAAAAGAATCTACGGCCGCTATCCTTTGGGGTGTATATAGGTAAACCCCTACACAGGAGCGTAAATCGTGCTAGGCAAGCCTCATACGATGGATTCGACCGAGGAGGTGTAGCAGTTGCTACTAATAATACTTACCACACCAGAACTAACTTATATTGATATGCAAATGGAACTACATTGATGAATTAACAAAGAGTTGCAAAGAGTAACAACTGAAAGAAGAAAGAGATGAGAAATAGAATTACAGAGATATAGATGAGAAGAGAATATTCCCGATAACTTCGGCCTTATATAACCAACCACTATAACCACATTACCCACGTCTCACTACATAATCACATAACTTTGAAGGCATATGTCTCACTCGTTTGCCCGTTCCCATATTGTCCTCAGTAGCATCCTTCGTGNCCCCCAATCTCCATTTAGAACCTTGTCCTCAAGGTTCAACCCAGTAGGTCTTTCATTATCAACAAAATCAGTCAAATAAAGTGGTGTAATCTGATTATCTGGTTGCCCTGAATATTTTCTAAGCGGTGATATATGAAAGACTGGGTGGATTTTCGCAGTTACTGGCAATTCTAATTTATACGTCACTTCTCCAATTCTTTTGAGAACACGAAATGGACCAAAGTACTTTCTTCCCAGTTTGTGTTGCCTTTGAAGTCGAATTGATGCTTGTCTGTATGGTTTGAGCTTCACAAAAACCCAATCTCCTACCTCAAAGTTCAGTTCAGTTCTTTGTTTATCTGCTAGCGCCTTCACTCTTCGCTAGGCTTTAGCCAAACACCTCATCCCTTTGGAGTAAAATTTGCTCCACAAGATCACTAATGTTGCTGCCCAAAATATACCTAGCAATTGTTGATGGTTCTCTTCCATAGAGAGCTTGAAAAGGGGTCATGCCAGTTGATATTTGAAGTGATGTATTGTACCAGTACTCAGCCCATGGTAGCATGGATATTATTCGACACACTTGTTTAGAGTAATAGATTGTCCTTCGTTTTGCGGGTGATAAGTTGTATTCATAGTAAGAGTGGTACCTTGCATTTTATTGATCTTTTGCCAAAAAGAATGGATGAATCGAGGATCACGATCAGTCACAATAGTTCTAGGAGGACCATGTAATCTTGTAATACCAACCACAAAAGCCTCAGCAACCGTACGAGCAGAAAAAATGGATGGTAAAAGTATAAAATGCCGAACTTTGTGAGCCGGTCAACTACTGTCATAGTGGTGGTTTTTCCTTTGGAACAAGGTAAGCAAGTAATAACGTCTGTGGATATATCCTCAAATACCATATCCGACATTGGTAAAGGTTGTAAGAAACTCAGGGGATGATGATGAATATCTTTCATTTGTTGGCAGATCTGACAAATGCACACAAAAGACTGCACATCTTTCTTCATGTTTCTCCAGTAAAAATTAGAGGCCACACGGTGATAGGTCCTAGCAACCCCATCATGTCCACCAACTGTAAAAGCATGGAATTCATGTAACAGTTGCTGACGAAGTGGTGAATCTGCCGGAATTACCAAACGTCCCTTATAAAAGAGCAACCCCTCTTTGAAAACATAATCATTGTGCAACTCGGGATGTTGGTCAAGTTGTAGTTGAATTTCTAGTAATTCGGGATGGCTTCGGTTCAATTCCTTTAACTCATTAACTAATGCCGGAATTTGAATAGAAATAGCCATAAAATTAGCTTCAGGATTACGCGACAATGCATCATTAGCCATGTTTTGTTTTCCCGACCTATAGATAATGCGAAAATCATAGCCTAGTAATTTGCTCAACCACTTCTGTTGCTCCGGAGTTTGGATCGTTTGAGTGGTAAGATTTTGAAGTGCCTGTTGGTCAGTGAGTATTGTAAATTTGCGTCCAAGTAAATATCGTTGTCATTTACCAACTGCTTGGGGTGATAGCAAACTTCTCTCGGTGGTAAGTAGAAGCTCGTTGCATGCGAGAGCTTAACTTTCTATTGAATAAAGCCACGGGACGACCCCTCTTAGATAGGATTGCACCTATCCCTACACCAATTGCGTCTGTTTCTTGCTGAAATTCCTAACTGAAATCAGGAAGTGCAAGAACAGGAGTCGAACTTAGACACTTCTTCAAGGTTTCAAATGCTTCATGTGTTTGCTCATTCCATTGAAAGGCATCTTTGCGCAGTAGGTCGGTCAAAGGAGCTGCGATGGAAGCATAATGATAGAAGAATCTACGATAATATCTAGCGAGCCCCAAAAAACTATGAACATCCTTCACATTACTGGGAGGTGGCCATTGCTGGATGGCAATAATTTTTGTCGGATCGACTGCCAATACTTGATGAGATAGTATGTGACCAAGATAATCAATGGTTTGTTGGCCGAATAAACATTTGCTCATTTTGGCTACTAATTGGTGATGTCGGAGTAGTTGTAGCACCAATTGAAGATGTGCCAAATGAGCAATCCAATCAGGACTATAGACGAGTATATCGTCAAAGAAAACCAACACGAAACGTCGTAAATAAGGTCAGGATATGTCATTCATGGTGGCTTGAAATGTGGAGGGCGAATTGGATAACCCAAACGGCATAACTAAAAACTCATAATGGCCATAAATGTTATTTTCCCAATATCTTCTGTTCGAACACGTATCTGGTGGTACCTAGAAAGTATATAAGTCCAGCTTAGAGAAGTACCGAGACCCATGTAATTCATCAAAAAGCCCATCTATCGTAGGAATTGGAAAAGCGATAACGCACAGTTAGGGCATCGAGGGACCGATAATCCACACAAAATCACCATGTTCCATCCTTCTTTAGAACTAGTAGCATCGAAGAAGAGAATGGACTAGTACTGGGTCGAATGATGCCTTTTTTAACATCTGAATGACTAACTGCTCCATTAGCTTTCATTGAACTTCACTTTGAGGTAGGAGATTGGATCTTTGTGAAGCTCAAACCATACAAACAAACATCAATTCGACTTCAAAGGCAACACAAACTAGGAAGAAAGTACTAGGATTTTCGCAGCTACTGGCAATTCTAATAGTGTGCAAATTAGAATTGCCAGTAGCTGCGAAAATCTACCTAGTCTTTCATATATCACTGCTTAGGAAATGTTCAGGGCAACCAGATAATCAGATTACACCACTTCACTTGACTGATTTTGTTGATAATGAAAGGCTTACTGGATTAAACCTTGAGGACAAGGTTCTCATTGGAGATGGGGGTAATATTATGAATCCAGAATCACAAAATTAACTTGCTGACTGGGCTGTCGAGTTGGGTGCTGATGTGGAGTTCATGAAGGATGCTACTGAGGACAATATGAGAATGAGCAAATGAGTGAGACATTTCACGCCCCCTTTTCTTTCGAAAGCGGGTTTTAACATGTGACAACTCTTTTAAATGTGGGTATTAAAATAAAAGAGTCGCCACCTAACCATTTTGAGGTGCGTTAGGGCACCTAATTGCGAGTAACTTTGTTTTGACTAGTCTACGTCACCAAAGATCGGGTAAGGGCTCAAATTACCTCAAATAGAAAGTGTTAGACACTCTTTGAGGTCCACAACTGTGGGTCCCGACCGAAGTTTACACTATGTGGGATTATTAAATTATAATTGTCCTATGTGATTATATAAGCGATGGAGATAAGGAATTTAAAGGTTCTAATATGAACAAGTGTAAAGGAAATCGGACAACAATCAAACTATAAAGATAATCAGTACAAGTTCTTAGAGGTTACAAGGTACAACTTAATTATTTTAAATTCAACGACTAAGTGCAAACAATAAACATATAAGAGAGGGGGTCCTAAGTTTTTTAGCCTAAAGGATCACCCCATGCAACATAAATAATACTTTGCAACTCCTTTAGGGTAGGGGTTGCTCATATTATTCAGCGGGCACAGACTATCATCTCCTGCTACCCGATTACTATGTTAAAGTTATTTACTTAAAGTGCTCTTATTTAATTCTAAACCGTCTCATATGCGTGCGCTACCCGTCCCATACTTATGGCCTAGGAGGCTTTGGACCTACTATTCGGGTGGTTCTAGACTCTACTTAGGATACTCAAAATGATAAACTAGCAACGCATTCAAAACATATAGGACTTCATATAAAGACAATAAATGGCTCAAATTAGCCTCCACACATAAGCAGCAAATTGCACGCAGGCAGTTTCATACATTAGGCGGCAGACAGTTTCACATTAGAACATGTTAAAGTCATTAAGTCCTATAAACATGGTCTCTATGTGATTCTGATTTCCAGTAGTTTGTACAAGCAGTACTGCAGCTCCAAACTAACGGATTGCTAGATTAAAGGCATTGCATATCCTATAGGCATGATCTCTAATTATTGTACAATGAAGCAGTACAACTGTTTGAAAGCTCAGAATTAACATCGTTGATTTTTATATACATGTTTCTTATGCGAGTGACAATATCCTATAGGTAGAATTTCTAACAGTTGACAATTGGACTTGATTTTATAATACTTTATCCCTATAGGCATGTCATCTAAGTGCGGCAGTATAATGAAAGTAACAGAAATAGCTGATTGATTAATTAAAACCTTATAGTCATGTATCTAGATGAGCATTAGCAAATGCATGTATTGTTACATCCTATAGGCATGTTGTCTAATAATTAAGCAATGTGTTTGATCCCT